ATGTGGCACAGGGTGGCATCCAGGCAGGTTTGGAAGATCTCCAGAGAAGGAAACTCCACAACCTCTCTGGGCAGCCTGTTCCAGGGCTCTGTCACCCTCACAGGAAAGAAGTTCTTCCTCACATGGAGATGGCTACATGCCAGCTACAGCCACATAGGGCTCCCTTTCTCTCTACAGACTCCTCTTGAGTCTTTCCTTGTCCCTCCAGCTTCTTCTACACCCACTGCTTCATCCTACTCTCCTCCTGCCCCTGTTTCCTTGCTTCCCCATCCTGGTGTCCTGGCAAATCCGAGCACCTGCACTTGTCCCCAGTGCCACTCCGAACCCCAGCACGCTGCTTACTCGCTCTTGGGAGGTTGGCAGCAACCACCAAGGCGCCTGTTAAGACTTGGTGCTCCCACAGGAGATACAGTGAGTTGTTCTTGTTGGGAAGAAGCAGATGCTTCAGGTGAACGAATGTGCTGATGTCCCCCCAGCCCCAGCATCACCAGCTTTTGTAAATGCCACATGGGTTCTTCTTCCTACCCTTTAACCTTTATGTTGTCCATGCCTAAAGGAGGAGATGTGGGAAAGCAAAGAATTTTTTCAGGCCACGTAGGGAATAAAATCATCGTGGTATGAGAGCCTGAGTATGCAGTGGTGAAGTGACAAGTGCAGCAGATGCCTTGGAGTCTTCTGCAAGTTGCATTTATTTCTAAAGTGGTCCTGATACAGTAATGTTAGTTTTGCTTTTAAAACAACAGTAATGTTTCCACCAACTTGAATTTCCTGTCAGATTTTCAGTTAAATGAATTAGGGCTTTTTTTTTTTCCTCCTCCCTGAATTTTATCAAAATAACTTTCTTTTTATCCTTTGTTTCCAACTCCATTCAAGTTATTTGTGTAGGGGTTTATGGACTTATTAGTCTATTTTTATAGTCTTCCTAGGCTGCAATGTCCTAGAATCAAGCACTTGTATAGATGAGATGTCAGACACAAAGGCTGAGCACAAATCATGGCATTTAATTTCCTGGCTTAGCTTTCAATTAAGTAGACGATGAGCCCAGGATACGCTTTGGATTTGAAGTATAATAATTAATCTTTTGGTTATGAAGGATCATTGAGATATTCAGAGCCTACAAATTATCTTTCTAGATTGACAAGCCTGATTTAAAAAAAAAGAAAAAGGAATTTGTCATTTTGTAGACTTTCGTTCATGTTATAAGTTGTCCTTTTCTGTTAGTTCTTGATAATGGATGCATTAGGAATTTGTAAATAATTTGAGAAGATTCTATAAGTATCTCGTACCATACTTCTAGAAACCTCGGATTTGCCATTCCATTTTTAACTGCTTCACTGCAAAAAATTCTTTGAATGTCTGCGACTTTCAAGTCATTTTGCTGTTTTATTCTGTTGTTCCCATGAATTGCTGTTATCAGTGTGATAAATCCATCATCTTTCCAGGGAAATAAAAAAGGATTAAAGGCTGATGTTTGGAGGCAGTGGTTGCTGGAGCGTCACTGAGAAGGGAAAAAAGAGGAAAAATTACTTGCGAACAGGATAGCGTGGAAAAAAAGGTGGTGACCAATGCTGTTTAAAGGGAATTTCAATACGCTACTTATAGTGAACAGGGAACTTATTTTGTTATTAACTAAATTCTTTTTCTTCATTATTTTAGCATCTGAAGGGTCTAAAACACAAGACAAGAAAGTCACTTCAGGACAAAGCACTAACAATGCTGGAGCGAAACCAGGTACGCCATCAAACGTGCTGCACCTCATGATGCTGTATCCCTCATTGGGGTTTGGAAAAGCAGCTGGTCTTCCTAGGAACCCGTGGAACATTTCATGCTCTCGCACTTCTGTACTGTTTCAGTCAAAACTAATATCAGTGACTGTTCATACGTACTTATGCTGGAACCTCTGATTATTCACAAAGGAGCAAAGCAAAAAAAAAGTGGGAATGAGGGTTGGGAACTGGGATAGAGATGCAGAAGCTACTGTATCTGTGTCTGTGCTTGCACCACAACTGTCTGCTGCAAGTGAAGCTTTATAGGTCTACATAATATGCATGCGTTTAAGGCATCACTTACCACAAGGAGTGCTATATTCTGTAGTGTGCTCTGCAGTAAGCAAATGTTTGCTGTCACTGCACTGTACCTGATCGTTACACCGTGTGGATTTAGTTCAACGTTTTCCATTAATGCTGCACTTACAGTTAAAAGCCTATGTGCTAAAATACTGGGTGTGATGCTTAATACCTCCAGTCTGTTACGGTTTGGTGCTTAGGCCAAGTTCCAGAAGAGCAATTAGGTCTCTGAATTCTGCCTGTGTTGTATTTCAGGTACCTCAGACTTAAAGGTGTAGTTAATAACGATAAGAATGGGGCACACTGCAAGCACTCGCATCTCAGCTGCTTGACAGTTTGGCAGCTCAGTGAGTTTGGCAGCTCAGTGACTCTTTTCTGTCCCTGAGTTGGGTGCCTGGGGTTTCCAGAGGGAAGAAATGCTGGTGCTGTGTTCAGGTCACAGTATGTGCTGTGCTGTCACGGTGCTCAGTCCAGTGCAAAGCCCAGCATTCATGGCTGCTGTCACACAGAAATGCAGTGGAGAGAGGAAGAGAATGGAGTTCACTCAGGTACTTATTTTTTTCCCTCAAAAAACCCCCTAACTTTTGGAGTTGCTCAGTGTTCAATATCCCCTTTATCCTGCAGTAGTTAATCCCAGCCTTTCATCCCCGCAGAGGGTGTCCTAGCTGCTCCCTCGAGCAGCTCCCTCGAGCTGCGCTGCTGTGCAGGAGGGGAGGCAGAAGCCCTGGCGCTGCAGAGGGGAGGCCCCGCGTGCCCCCAGGCCTGGCCCTGCGCCTGCAGTGCAGGGAGGGATGAATCCTGGGTGCTGCTTCCCCATCTCAGACCGTGTGCGGTTGTGTCGCACTGTGTTTGCGTTAAAATACGGAGGCTGTTGGCAGCAGGGGTGACAGCCACCGTCGTAAGCAGTGTTGTAGCTGCCTGGAAGGTGTCCACAGGCTGAACAGCTATTAGGAGTCCAAGAGAGAAACACAAGCAATTTTGGATTGTGCATGCGAATGTGAACAGAACTAGACAGGGGGAAAAGGGGTTTTGAGCCCACAGTACGCATCTTTTCAGCTGTTGTTATGGCTTTCATGTTTCTTTTTCCTCTCATCTCTCCCGTGAACTATTGGACAAACTGGTTTCTGCTTTATGCTTGATAATCCTTTCTTTCCTCAGGGCCAGCAGTTAGACACCTCAGTCCAGTGCAGAAAGGAGGCAGCCATTTGTGAGAAGAGCTGAGCTGCCTGCAGATGGATATGAAGAGCAGTAGTAGCTGAGTTACTTCCAAAATCACACTGAGAGCAGCTGATAGTTGCGTGAGCTATAGAAACAGGCTATATTTAATAGGACAGTTAGTAATTTAGCAGAATAGCCACATTTCTACAAGTATAGGCTGTGTGTAGGAGTTCAGTAGCTATTATAGTGGCTATAAAAAAAAATCTTTCAGAATGCATTTTGTTCTTATTAAGATAACTGGGAATCAGAAAAAAAATCATTTTCAGTCAGTGTTGAATTTCTGGAATATACTATTTATAGCTTTTAAGCTCTTTTGATAGATTGGTAAACACTTTAAGAATAATTTTGAACTCATAATAAGCTCTGTAAGTTTATGGAAAACACTTTTTAGATGCATTTTGTACTTACACCTGGAATTTAAACATCTAAAATATATCTATATCTAAAATATATCATTTCCCAATTTTTGCATTGTATCTTAAAAATTAATCTCCAAACCTCCCTTTAGGGTATAGTATTTAGTATTGGCACATTCCATTTTATTGCTTTTCTAAGTAGTAATTTATGTGTAATGAAGCAGGTTGCTGAGGATTGGAAAGCCTCACAGTGTAACCAGGCTTTAGCTTCAGAAGCCGTGGAGGAGGTGTCCTGGAGTATCCTGTGTAAGGGTTTGCATGTGCTCAGCCATCACCTGGAGCTGAGGGCCTTTCAGGATATGCCACAAGTGACATTTTCGACCTCGTGTAACAACCGAAAGCTATTTGGTGATGCTGATGAGAAAGGGAGACCTTGTATGCTTGCCCTGGGATTCTTATTAAAATGCCAGCCCCCAAGACTGGCAGGACGGTAATGGACTGGGAAACCAAATGGGGAGGAGGCCTCGTGGGTTTTCTTGTCCTGACTGAGTTTGAAACCATATAGCCGGGGTGTGAGCATATTGGTAGGGTTCACAGTGTGGGTGTTAGTGGTTGGGCTGGAAGGCGAACCACGAAGGATCAGTTACCGCGAGTAGAAAAGACACTGTGATCAACAGCCTCAGATTTGCCTCAATACCCTTGTAAGTATCAGCTGCCAGTGGAGCAAAAGCAGTGGGGTGGTTGGTGTGCTGCAAAAGCGCCAACACTTACCTACTACACTGTGTCCCTCGAGTCTTAGCGTGGAAAGAGGCTGGATCCTGTGTCCGTACCTATACCGGGGCAAGAGGCACGGGGAGGGGAAGGGGTCTGTGTGCGAACACCATCAGGTGGGAGAGAAAGAATAATTGGGCACCCTTGAAACAGAATGGCAAAGGGCAGCTTTAAAAATTTATTTTATTCCTCCTTTTGCTTATAATTAGGAATCCCTAAGGGACACCTTTTCAACTTGCCTGTCCGTGTAATTCTCTGGCCTGTTTGAAGAATTGCGTCCTCTCCCCTGGTGGGGAAATCTCCTCTCCCCTGAAGAAAGGAGAAGGGAGCTGGAAGGAGAATAGTATGTTCTGAAGAAAGGCAGCATACATTTTAGGTTATTCCCCAGTGACTCATCATTCTCTGTCAACTCAGTGTTATATTGACTTTTCTGACAGCCCTTTGTGGGAATCCATGTTTTTCAAGGGATTTCATATTTGGTGTGCATTGATTCCAGTAGCTTTAATTACTCATACTACAGAAATTCATGTTTTGTGACTCTTGTTAGGCAGCCACGAGAGAGAATAAATGCTGTTACCCTTCTGACCGGTCCTTGCTTGCTGAGCAGACTGCACGCGAGCCAGCACTCTTCATGAGAGCAACCAAATGTTATTTTCTGCTATACATTGGACAAATCTATGGCATGGCTAGATATAGCTTCATAAATGCCAGCACAGTTTGATCTTTAACTAGGTGATGGATTACCTTTGCCCCTGCTGGGGACTTTTTCACTTTGGTTTTATACCTTTTGTTGGGGGTCCAAGATTCAAATGAAAAGTACAGTGGGTCTTCTGTAAGTATGAAATGGGACTTCTTCCTGCTGTTCTCACTTTGCATTGATATTAATGTCACTATTTGAGGCTATATGTTGTTCAGATGAATGATTTCTGTTCACCAATAAGAGTTTGAAAATAATTAATGTAATGTGAAGGCAGTCAGCAATAAATGCTCTCAGCCAAAAAAGAAGGTTTTGTCATTCTGGTACAGGAACTTGCTTGGCCCCGTGTGTGGTTTTGCTAGGATTTTTTGCACAGGTGGGTGCAGCCTATGCACAGGTGGGTGCCAGCCTCTGTTTTTACAAATGGCCTATTTGTGTACTCGTGTTGAATAATGAAACGCTTCTCTGTCATAGGAACCTTTCTTTCTATGGGCACTTTCCATGATGGTATTCTTCTACATAGTTCTTTGCTATCTAAATTTTAAAATGAAATTATTCTTAATATTAAAATGAATCAGATCATTTCCTTATACCCAGAAAAAACATGATATTTGGAGAGGGAGAGTGTGTGCTTAAGACAGGCTTTTTCAGTGCTAGTGGAAAAGCACAGCATAGTGAACAGCTTTCCAGATTTAACAGAAGAGTCTAAGGACAAGTAGGAAATTAGTTTTGGCAGCATGCTGAGAGGAAGTGGTAAATCTGATTTTGTTCCCATTTTTGTCTTCAGCTCCACTGCTGAGACTGGAAGTAGCATGCTAGCTGTTTAGCATTTTGTTATTTTTCTGAATAACTCTGTCAGTGAGCAAGTGATCTTTATCCAGCCAAAGGTTTTTATAACGAAGCCTCGGCTTTGAGACAGACCTTTCATATTTTGTCCTTAGCTTTTTTGTCATGATCCAGGTGTCCTGTAACATGTATTTTAAAATAAATGGTGTAGCTAAGTTACAATCCATAAAGATAGTTGCAGGCAACTGTTTTCTAACTTCACTAGTGTTGTATCATCCATGTACATGTTGTACTGCCTAAACATGTCTGCCAGAGCCCTTAAAATACTTGCCCTCATGAGCAACATCCTTAGTATCACATCAAGTCTCCTTTCTTAGTTGTCCCGCTTCAAGAGCTCAGAACTGCTACAGTGTTTTGGTCTGACCAGTTTTGCTTGTGTACTGAGCTTTCTTTGAAGTCCTGTGAAAAATGCTTACTAGTTTCCAAAATGGAATTGGAGGGAAGACAAGGATGCTGAATTATGTTGCCAACGTATTTTGGACAGATGCTATGAAACAAAGGGGTTTTTTTTTGTGAGAATACTCTCAAGCGATCAAGTTGTTACAAACTTGGAAAAAAGGAGTCCTTCCTCATGGTTTTTCATGTGCTTGTTAATTGTGCTTATAATTCAGAGTTGCAGCTTTGTCTGCTTTTGAGTGTTTGCATGTTAAAATAATTGGATTCGTTCTTTTAAAAATTGTTCCATCTTATTTTCAAAGGATGGGTTTCTAGTAGCGTTTGTTCTTTTTCGAAGCTGGAATAATTAGAGCTGTTTAATGGCAGTTCTCATAATGGTTTGTATATGCTAATACTTGATTTCCTGCTATATCCTTAACTCTTTTTTTCCCTCCATATGCAGATCATCCACCAATACTAAAGGTTGATGACAGGCAACGGCTTGCTAGGGAGCGGAGAGAAAAACGAGAAAAACAACTAGGTGAGACCTGTTCTTTATTACCGTGTCTTTTCCTTCTTTCTATGGACTATGAGTGCATGTGGTATAGAGTTTTTGCCAGATTGATTTTAGTAGCATTCAGCCCCCTGATTTTGCTAAATACGCAGTAATGTCATTTTCAGCTGTTTAGTTATTAAGTGTTTAAAGTAGATCTTTTAGCTCAGGCACGTCATGAGGTTTATCATTAGTAAACCTGCCACATAACCTGTTACTTATCTTTATGAAATTAAATGAAAAATTGATTAATTTCTGAAACATACAAAAGGTCTTGACATAAATAGACTTGAACAGTTTAAACTTACCCAATTAAGATTAGAGTTCTTAATATGTTGAATGCGTCCTCTTTTGCCATGAAATAGGATATCAAAACGTGCTATTGATGTACAATTTGAATTTTTCTCTATAAACTTGGGAGTTTTAGTCTTTTGCAATATTCAAAAATTTCAGCAGGTGTCAAACAAATGGGCTCACTCTCCTGTAAAAGTGAGTGTCTCTTGTGCATAATAACATACAAGTGAATTCTTAGTTGCAAGTTACTGAATGGGTTACTTAACAAGCAGCTAGAGATCACACTGGCTAGTGTGGTAGTAGTAGGACTGTCAAATTATATTAAAAGCAAAATTGCCATGGATACTGAGTCCTGGCAATGTTGTTTTGGCCTACTCGTGTCCTCAGGCGTGTTCTGCTCTTCCTCCTACATAGTCCCGCAGCGTTTTTGGCTTCTCTCTCCTGGCGGGTAAAGAGGGGCAGCACCACTTGCCGACCTCCTCTTCTGGCCAGGGCACTCTCTCCTCAGCAGGGTCCCAGAGAGAAAAATCTAAGTCTTGGGAATCTGACACTCTTAAATAAGGACCGTTTTTTAAGGCAGAATTCCTGGTAATGATGATGCTAGTAGAGGCTGGAGGGCAAAGGCTTAGTGAGGGGAGTTAAAAACCTCAATTCACAGCCCTTTCCTGAGATCTTGCCTATAAGATGTAACACTGAAACATGGTCCTAGTTGGATTTTTTATCATATCATAAAATATCAGATGATCATTCCCTTCCCTTTAAAAGTATTTAGATTTGACTTCAAATGAGGCATGTTTTTGTTTACTTTGATAAAATTGCTAATCTTGATCGAAAATCTAGAGGGAGTGAAGTACCTCATAAGATATGTGCAAAATATTTTCTGCTCTCATTCAAATGGTTTTTGTAGCCCACAAAATTCTAAATGACTTGGTTTTTTTCAGTGAAATATGCACGGAAGGATTAGTGCATGTTGCGTATGAAATATTTTGGTCATTAGTTTGTGTGGGAGGTTTTTTAGTTCAGGAGAAAATTATGCATCCGTGGAGTGTTTTGGTTGGTATAGCTGAAAAATCAGGCTTTTCATAAATGCAAGCAAATTTAAGCACAAAGTCTAAATGCGTAAGTCTAAAAACAACAGGGAACTGGCAGCCATTCACTAAGCTTTACTACTTGGAGTCTATGTGCAGTGATTCAAAGTGTGTTCACCGTGAGGTTTCTTCCACAATAGAATGGAGCAGTCCTCTCTGCGGCCACTCCTCTCTCCCCAAAATACTTACTTTTTTTTCAGTATTGCTGCACACCTTCATTTATCATTATCTTTGTGAGCTGGACATGTTCCAGAGCCATACCTCAGCCTGAGATGGCCCAAGAGCTAGTCAGCCAGTTGAACACCTCATCTTTACCATGGGCATCGCAGACAGGAGACCACACGGCTTAGAGAAGACTGTGTACCTCTGTATTCAGGCAGCAGGAGACAGGAAGGTTAGACAGAAGGAGAGCGAAGGTGCTGGCTTCAAACGGGACCCTGTTGCAGTATTAGTTTGTGCTGTGTTGCATAATTTCCCCGTGCAAATGGCTGCTGCCTGCGACTCTCTAAAAGACAAAAGGAGCAGTAATTGCAGTAGTGGAGGCACCAATGATATTTAGGGGTTCTTCCCTTTCTGTTTGACACCAGAGTGGTTGCGTTCTTCCTTCATTCTGCCTTAAACCCAGCAGATTGCTTTCTGTTTGCTGGCTTGGCACTGTTTTGCTGGCAGCGAGGCAGTCGCCCGCCCGCACAGGAGCCGCAGCAGCCGCCGCCTCCTTCCCTGCCGCAGTAGCCTGTCCTCGGGCTGGGCGCTCACCCTGCAGTCTCTTGCTCACAAATGCCTTCCTAACCACTAGGCTGCCCACGTTTTTGGCTGGAGATGGGCACTGCCCGCAGGAAAGCTGGAAGATGGCATTTGCTCTGCAGACCGTGCTGGGGAAATGTTTTGTCAGTTGTTTGACCTTAAAATGCAGCTGCTGTTCTTGATCCTCTCGGTTCTTGTGAGGATTGGAGGCAGTGCCATTTGTGCCAGTGGATAATTTAGCTTGTTTTTTTTTCTCTCTCTTAGCAGTATTGTCATACAGCCTTTAGATAACCAATGCTGACGTAAAGGCTCTTTGTCCCTTTGCTTAGGAGAGAACTAAGCTCTGCAGCTCACACAATTTAGTTGAAATAGTTCTTTTAATTTCAATTGTTAAGAATAACCAGAAACTTTCTTTTGAGATTGTAGAAAATACAAAACATATAGAAAAATGATTGGTCCGATGGACTGTAATTCTGGGTGTTTAGTTGTTTGTACTGGTTGCCTTGAGTTGCCTCTGTTTTCTATGCCAATTCATGAAATTGCATGTTCTGTGAACTGAGAAGCTCCCATGGCTCAGACCCCAGATATTGAAAAGCCCACCTGAAAGTGTGAAATGAACTGTCAGTGTTGTCATCTTGTGCTCCAAAGCTCTTCCAGCTGTAAAGTGCATTTCACTGGCCTTTCCTTCCCATGGTGCATAACAAGGACAGCTCGGGCTCTTCTGCCAGGCACTTTCCTCTGCCATAGGAAGCACTCCAGCATACTTGTATCCCCAGAAGATGAGGGAGGATGAGCCATACAAGTAGGGGACAGAAACTACTCTCATTATTTAATGCACCGACTTTGTTGTGTTGCAGACAAAAATAAATAGAAGAGGTATTTGTCAGGATTCTACGTTCTTGCTCATCCTTACAAGTAATTATGTTTCCACACATAACCACAGGGGCTCGTCTCTTCCTTCTAGTCTGAGCTAGAAGCAACTTCAAGAAAGCCTTAAAGGAAGAGGAGATGAAGGATTACTGTAAGGCTCTGTGTACGTTTCATTTCAAAACAGCTTTTTTTTCTGTTAATATGTAGGAAGGTGTTGCATAACAGCTGCTATTAGAGTTACTGGGGCTTTTTCACAGCTGTGGTCTTGGATATAACAAGATGCTGAGCCCTTTCCCAAAACCCCTTGTCGTTTGTTTAGTGTTGTGTATATGCTAGGTCCCATTCCATCAATATGTCTGGGGAGAAGTTGTGTGGAGTTTCAGATGTTGCAGGGAGTCAGCTGGCCTGCAGCCTCGCTGAGGGTTGAGCAGACAGTTCCTAGCAGACTGGTTGCCCTGATCCCCCACGCTGCTGCTCCGAAAGAAGGAATCATGTGGGCTGCAGAGGAAAGGGGCTGCTGCCCCTCGGGGATGCAGCAGCAAGGGAGCCCGGGCAGAGGATGTTACCATGTTGCCCTGTGGTAAAGTCAAGTGATGTTTGATGTGAGGGGCAATGGGGAAACGCAAATACATCGGAATAGTTCCAGTCTCTTCAGATTAATCAGTCATTGGGGAAGAAGAAATGATACTTGTATGATATAAATAGGCCTAAGTACACTGAGGCAAATGGAACCATATACATGATGATTCACTGAAGAAAGCCAAGTATCATGGTTTTTTCATTGGGTAGTTGTTTTTAAAGCTGCCCCTCTGGCAGGGATTTCTTGTGCTGGGATGGAGGCTCTTCCAGGGAACTTGTCCTACGTGACCTTGCTGCCCCTCAGACCTGTCCTTTGCTCAGGGCCGTTCCTCTTGCTATACCCGTGCTCTGCTCAAGTGCAGGGAGAGATTCCTTTAACGTTCCCAAAGTCCAGTTTCCTAGTTACTGGCAAACGAATGTCTGTTACTATAATGATATCGTTTCTAGTGGGGAATTCTTCTTTTGGAGTGTGGCATAAAAGCAACATCAAACAGTTGCATCCCCCCAAACAGGGATTTTTGTTTGTTTGTTTGAAGTTGATGGCAAATTGCTCCATTCGTAATCAGGAGGCTTCTGCACGCGCCTGTGATGTGGGAGCACATCACGAGTTCTTGCATGAAACTTTAGTTTGAGCTAGCAAGAGAATTGGAAGTAGCGTTATACTTTCATGTGTGTATTTGTCTGTTAACATTATGATTTAGTAGCTGTCTCCTCAGATTTGTGTTTCAGTTCAGCAAAGCAGTGATTTTTATAATGGCATGCAAGCTTTGTTTCTTTTTTTTAGTTCAGAAACTGGATAATCAGTCACTCATGTCATGTGAACCATACTAAAGAAATGTCTAAACCATCTATCTTCAGCAAATACCAAGTTGCATAATGTTGTTATATAAATGTGCTTCTCTCTCACTAAAACCTGGAGTTGGGATTTTATTAATATTGTGGCATTAGCTTTGCAAAAGTAAATGAAGGAAAGATTTAGAAGTTGGATTTAAACTTAAAATCCTTTTTTTTTTTTTTTTTAAATTCCCGGGTTGGGTCAAATTTAACAAAGGCTTCTATGTTAGAAGAAGTTGAGTCTTTCAGCAGTACCTGAAGTGTTTTGAAGTGGTTTTTCCTTCCTCCTCCTCATCCTCCTCCTCCTCAAAAAAAAAAATGAAAAAAGAAAACACAACAACAACAAAACCCACAACTCTTTGTTTAGGTCTGGAGATGGTAGTAATCGTAACAATTATGTTGTGCTTTCAGCAACTTGAATCACACAAGGTCATTATATCTCTGTCTTCTCATGAAAATGAATCTAACTTGTTCACTCCCTCCTGCTGACATCATTTGGAGTATCAATTTAGTTGTTAATATTTCTTTTATTTATTCTTCATTTAACTAAGACCTACTTTTCCTCCTCTTTTTATTCTT